GAGGTCGGGGGTCTGGGGACTCCAGGGTTGCCTCCAGACCCCGTTCGGCCCCGAAGCGTATTCGGTCGGCCGACCCGGCAACTCAAACGACGCGGCGGGTTGGGAGCCTGGCACGTCCGGCCGCCACATGAGTTCGATCCAGAGTCCATCTGCGGCCGAGTGGGCTCAATGGCCCAACGGGTTTAGAAGCGAACGAGCCCTGGGAACGGAGGAAATTCTTTCCCGCGGAAGCGCGGCTGCCGACCCAGTCTGCATAAAGTGCGGCTGATCGGGAAGTCGACCAGAATGTGTGAACGGCAACGACGTGAGTTGGCGGCGCGCAGAGGGGGGTCGGGGGAGGGGGGAAGGCTTCTTAGAAGGGGGCTGCGTCTTAGAAGGCGCTGGCCTTCCATTTGTAGAGAAGGCCCGCGCCTTCTAAGAAGCAGGGGTGTTTCCAAGAAGCCTTCCCCCCTCTCCTCTCTCCCCTGGTGGCGTCGGGGAAAAATCGGCCCCCCTCCGCGCACTGGTTTTTTACATACACGATTCCCGGGAGTTTGGTTTTCGCTTGGGCTTTTTTTCAAAATGCTGCTCTCGCTGAAGCGCTGGCCTCATTTTCGGGCTACCGCTCGTTCCGAATCGTGCTCCCGCTGCAGCGCTGGCCTCATTTCCGCGCTTCCGCTCGTCCCGAATCGTGCTCCCGCTGCAGCGCTGGCAACATTATTTCCAGCGCCATGCCGCGGCATGGCTTTTGAACCTTCCAAACAGGCCCCAAACATGCCTCCAAGACAAAACCATCGAAAGTGATTACACATTCGATGCCGATTCATTGATTTTTGGGGCCGCAGAAGCCACCCTCCATTTTGGGGCGTCGCGCCATGCTATGTCAGGCTACGCGTCCTCATTCACGCGATTCCGCGCTTGTTTTTTTGTTTCAAAATGCGGCCTCATGTTCGGGCTTACCGCTCGTTCCGAATCGTGCTCCCGCTGCAGCCCTGGCCTCATTTCCGTGCTTCCGCTCGTCCCGAATCGTGCTCCCGCTGCAGCGCTGGCAACATTATTTCCAGCGCCATGCCACGGTGTGGTTTTCGGTCCTTCCAAAAAGGCCCTAAAATCTTACCCCCCCCCGAGAAAAAAAACATCGGAATTGATTACACAGTCGGTGCCGATTCGTTGCATTTTTAGGTCGCAGAAGCCCCCCCCCACCCACTGTGGGGCGTCGCCACGTCATGCTGTCATGCGATGCGTTGATATTCAACACCGAGCAATGCCATGTAATGCTGTGCCATGTTGCGACATCCAATTGTGCGAATAAAGAAGAGGTCTACGCCATGGTGAGGGATGGGAGGGAGGGGCAGGACGCCAGATATGACTCGAGCGCACCTAGCTTGCGCGTGGCTGGGTAGGTTCGCGAATGCTCGGCCCTCGGATACCCCAAACCCTTCCGAGGGGGGACCCTGGGATCGCTCCTCGTCCTGGACTGTTCGTCGGCAGTCCTGCGTCCAGAGAGGAACGCCCCTCCCAGGGGCCGCAGAGGGAAGGCACACATCCTCGTCTTGACTTTGCAGGGTGTCGGAGGTCTATGTATTTTTGCCAGTGCTATTCGTAGTACTACTATTGTTACTTCTTGCTGCAATCACTGTTGTTAACACTATTAACGCAAGTATTGCTATTCGTGTCCGTATGCTTCATCCTTCTCAATCGTACGGGTATCAGTTTAACCTATTTGAGGATATTAATCACATGATTCGTATTCGCACCAGTATCAATAGTAGTAGCAGTTGCTGTAGCAGTAATAGTAGTAGTAGTAGTCGTCGTCGTCGTCGTCGTTGCCGTCGTCGTAGTAGTAGTAGTAGTCGTAGTAGTAGTAGTAGTGGTAGTAGTAGTAGTAGTAGGAGTAGTAGCAGCAGTAGTAGTAGTAGTAGCTAAGAGTTAGTAGTTAGTAGTTAGTAGTTAGAAGTTAGTAGTTAGTAGTTAGTAGTTAGTAGTTAGTAGTTAGCAGTTAGTAGTTAGTAGTAGTAGTAGTAGTAGTAGTAGTAGTAGTAGTAGTAGTAGTAGTAGTAGTAGTAGTAGTAGTAGTAGTAGTAGTAGTAGTAGTAGTAGTAGTAGTAGTAGTAGTAGTAGTAGTCGTAGTAGTCGTAGTCGTAGTCGTAGTCGTAGTAGTAGTAGTAGTAGTAGTATAGTAGTAGTAGTAGTAGTAGTAGTAAGTGTAGTAGTAGTAGTAGTAGAGTAGTAGTAGTAGTAGTAGTCGTAGTAGTAGTAGTAGTAGTCGTAGTAGTAGTAGTAGTAGTAGTAGTAGTAGTAGTAGTAGTAGTAGTAGTAGTAAGTAGTAGTAGTAGTAGTCGTAGTAGTAGTAGTAGTACAGTAGTAGTAGTAGGAGGTAGTTAGTCGTAGTCGTAGTCGTAGTAGTCAGTAGTAGCAGCAGCAGTAGTAGTAGTAGTAGTAGTAGTGGTAGTAGTCGTAGTAGTAGTAGTAGTAGCAGTAGTAGTAGTAGTAGTAGTAGTAGTAGTAGTGGTAGTAGTAGTAGTAGTAGTAGAAGTAGTAGAGGTAGTAGTTGTAGTAGTCGTAGTAGTAGTAGTAGTAGTAGTGGTAGTAGTAGTAGTCGTCGTAGTAGTAGTAGTAGTAGTAGTAGTAGTCGTAGTCGTAGTCGTAGTCGTAGTAGTAGTAGTAGTAGTAGTAGTAGTAGTAGTAGTAGTAGTAGTAGTAATTGGAGTAGTCGTAGTAATAGTACGACCAACGTTACCAATATTCATAATATTGATCTCACGGCTAGTATCGTCATTCGTATTATTTTTGCTGCGATCATGCATACGATATTGATAAACAACGCCATTCTTAAACAGCTACCCATGCCTTCTGCAGAGGACGTCCTCACAGCTTCCAGCCTCTGAGAAGCACCCCTTGCCCTCTTAGAATCGGGTGTTGCTGGAGCTAGGCATGGCCCAAGGTGGCCCGTGCTCCTCCAGGGATCAGGGGACTTCCAGAGCACCCCATCACGAGCCCCAGAGGGCCCCGGGGGCTGCCAAACGGCTCGAAAACGGGTGGGAACACTTCGGGCCAGTGACGCCTCGCACGCCTCGGCGCCCCCCCCGACGGGTGCTCCACCGACGGGCACCGTGGCCGGCGAGCCAGCACACCCAGCAGTCCCCGCTGCGGGCAGCGTGGGCCATGCGGCGCAACTTCTGCCGGGTCGCCAGCAGCACCCGCCCGCGAGTGCCCACGACAGCGCCGCCGGCAAGGCTTCGGGCTGCACGCGGAGAAATCACCCCGAGGCAGCCCCGCCCGGCATGCTCGGGGGGCCCTGACTCCGGATCCGCCCTGCTTTGGGGAAATTCGTAAATGGGGCTTGGAATTCCCGCCTTCCTTTTCAAGCCCCGCTGATGCCAATTTCCGCCCTACTTTTCTGTTGCTGTTTCTGTGGATTTCCGCCCTCTCTTATGTTGTGTGCAGCAATTTCCGCCCTACTTGTTCGGCCTCTTATAGGTGGATTTCCGATGCAGTTCTAAGTTGGAAGAAAAGCCAAAGTAGGGCGGATCTGGAGTCAGGGGGGGCCTGCTGAGGCCAGCCGCGACTGCCTGGGGAAGGGGGGGGGAGGGGGGGGCGTCTGTGTGCCCGCCGAGCGCCGCCGAAGGGTGCCTGGCCGGGAGGAGGCAGCGGCCAGGGGCGCCCGACGGCTGCCAGGGCCCCCCGCGGCCCCCGCCAGGGCCCGACTCGGCGGGGAGCGGGCTCGCGCGGCCCAGCGCCGCTGCCATTGCCATCGCCTGGACGGCCATGCCCGATGCATTGGGGGGGCAAGCAAACCAGCCTCGCTTTTGACCACCCTCGCTTCCAAGAGACACACCAAGCGATGCCAAACTACGGCCTGTCCTGGCCAGGCCGCTTGACGAGGAGGCGCGTGGTATGACTTGGTTTTGCCTGGAAGCGAGAGCGGGGCAGGTAATTCACGCTCTGAGCATTGTTCGATTTCGTGGCCATTTTTTGCCAGATGATCCAGGGTGATCCCCGATGGCCCTCGCCGAGGAAAGCACGCGCACGTCCGAGCGGCGATGCCGAGTGCCAGGCGTGCGGCCGATCGGGAGGGTACCCCAGACGTTCTCAAAAGCACCGAGCGCGTTTTTGTTTCCACTGTCTCTTTCAATGTGCCATCACCGTTTCCGTGCCATTTCCCAGCTTTGGGTGCCCTTTGCGCCAGTTCGGATTGTGGCCCACTTGTCCGTCTTCTCTCCGTTGTCGTTGCGCCACGTGTACACGTGCATACGCACACACACCTCCAGAAAAGTGAATCCAGATACACACACACACACACAGAGCGGCTCCAGACATCACAGTGCCGCCTACCTGACGCCCCGTTGTCGTTGCGCCACGTGTACACGTGCATACACACACACACATCTCCAGAAAAGTGAATCCAGATACACACACACACAGAGCGGCTCCAGACATCACAGTGCCGCCTGCCTGACGCCCCATGCTGTGCGGTGCAGTGTCTGCTGCGCTCCGGCCGAGTCGCGGGTGACGGGTGGACCCCCCGAGGCCACGAAGCGAAAGGCCCGAGGCCCCCCGCAACTGAGGCCCGAGGCCCGAGCACCAGCTTCTGGGGCGGCGCCTCCCTCGAAGGGCGCCGGTTGCTTCCGGGGGGGCTCCCCGGAGGGCGCGCGGAGGCCGAAGGCCCCCGCCCCCTCCTGTGTGGTCGGTGCCTCGCCTCCCCTGTCTCTCCGCAGCCCCGCGCCCCTCCCTCCCGACTCACGCCTCCCCCCTCCCCTCTCTTCCCCCCCCCCCGCCCCCTCCCCTTCCCCCTCCTCCTCGCCTCCTCTTCCCCCTCTTCCCCCTCCTCTTCGCCCTCTTCCCCCCCCCCCCCCCTCTTCCCCCTCCTCCCCCCTCTTCCCCTTCTCCCCCCTCTTCCCCCCCCCCCTCAGTGAGATTTCGTGTTCCCTCTTGGCTAAGATCAAGTGTAGTATCTGTTGTATGATTAGTAGCATGCAGGCAGGCTTAGTGTAAGAAGATATTCGACCGTGATCGCATGAATGCTCAAGGATGCGGGTTCGCTAGCTACAAACATTTCAGTTTGGTAGCGGAGCTACGGCTCCCTACCCTCCACGCGCGGCCCCCGCGCGTGCCGGCGCCCCCCAGGCGCCGCCATCGAGGAGCACGTTCCTCGGCCTCGCGCTCCCGCAGCGCGACTCCGTGTACAACTACAACGGGTTCAACACCTACGAGGTGAACGGCACCCACAGGTTTCTCGTCACCCGCGAGGTGACCCCCTTTGACCTCCTCAGCGCGGAGATCAGCATCTTCTAGGCTGGGAGGCTAATACCTTACCGGCCCCGCAGGGCCGACGAGTATCGCGAAGCATCTTTGAGCATAGATATTGATCGAGTTTCCTGTCAGAAGTATGGGAGATTATAAGACGCCAGCATCACTGCAGGAGTTCACTCGGTTCGTGCCGCCAGGATGGAAGCCGTTCGACGACGCATATCCGTTCAAGGCCTACATGCAGAGACTACACTTATGGTGGCGGCTGACCCCGCTGGACGAATGTGAGGCTGGTCCATCAATGGCGGCGAGGTTGTTGGATCGAGCATTCACTGTCGCGATGAACCTGGAGATCACGCGAGATGGAGTGAAGCACACAGGTGACGCAGCCCTCTCACTTCCTCGGCAGTCAGAAGAGCGAGACGCCAACGGGAACATCACACAGCAGGCCGATATAAGTGGAGCTGGTCACCTGATGCAGAAGTTGACTGAGGCGTTCGAGATCCACGATCAGGACAAGCAGGTCGAGTACCTCGACAAGTTCCTGGACACGAGGCGTGGCAATCAGACGTTGCAAGAGTTTCTATTGAGTTTTCGTGAGAGATATACCGAGGCGAATGACAAGGCGGACTTGACGATCAGCAATGTCGGACTGACACACATGCTGTTCAAATGGTGTGGTTTGCCTGTCAGGCGCATCGCAGACATCAAACTTCACATCAACGGAGATCTGGAGCAGTTTCAGACAGTGTATTCAATGCTAACAAGGATTGCCAAGCAGGAGATGGCATCAGGCAGTGGACACGCACATCACTACATGGACGATGACCAAGTTTCGGACCATGTCGTGGACTACTACCAGGACTATGACGACGAAGGAGTAGAGTTGATAGACTGGACACATGACGAGGAGAGCGGCCTACACTATCGCGAGTACTGGACGGAGACTGGTGAGGCGACCTACGGAGCTTACGACGACAACGGCATCTGGTACGAGGCCAACGACATCGAGGCGTGGCTTGACGAGCAGGAGCTGGATCAGGCGTACCAGATGAACGGTTTCAGGAGACGTTTCCGCTTCGGCGGCTTTCGACGGAAAGGTAAAGGCAAGAGTGGCAAGGGCAAAGGAGGACGTGGTCGCAGCAAATCTCGCGGTCGTGGTTTTGGACATGGAAAAGGACGTTGGTACAAGAGCAACCACTACGAGGAGCCGACGGACCAGAGCATGTGGGGCGACAGGAAAGGTGGCAAGAAGTACGGCAAGCACAACACTCAGGACAGCAACAAAGGTAGCGGATGTAGTACTTGCGGCTCGAAGTGGCACAAGAGCACAGACTGTCCGGCCAACCGTCATCAACCTGGACAAGCCCATCAGCAATCTGGTCAAGGGTTCTCGACGGTCTCCTTTCATGCTGGAGTATCAGGCGACGACCCGAGGATTAACCTGGCCGCGTACGACGACCTGCCCTTGCGACAGTCAGCACCATCGGTCTCATCACACAGTACTGGTTCCTGGGACTTGCCAACATCGCCATCGCCATATGCGCCAGAATCACCAGTGGACGCCTCCGTGTATCACGATTGCCCTGAATACAAGCTGGACCAGGACGACGACGCGGATGATTACGAGTATTCAGGAACGTCCTATGGCGAGCGGGCTGTAGATCGTGATGTGATGGACGGAGTCTGTGATGACGAGGAAGCTGAGGAGCACTACGGATATCCCTACAGCCGACTCCGCAAAGGTCAAAAGGGCAAGAAGGGAAAAGGTAAGCAGAAGACGGAGCATCAGCCAAAGACATCTCTCTTGGAGACTATCTCCGAGACGCCCTTTCGCCAAGATCGACCGGCTGCTTCAGATATATTTGGTACCTCAGCTCGTGCTCCGACACAGACATCACGATCAGCCAGGACATCATCGACATCAGCGACGCGAGCATTCGACCTTCCTCAGCGTGAGAGTGTACCTGTCGACACAGAGAGATCAGAAGCAGAAGCTGGCCAACCGACATCACCTCGACCTACGACCAGCACCTCGAGCACGTCTCAGATGACTGGGTCCCCTACCAAGGGCTCGTTCGCGGACATCATGCACACGTCATTCCTCAGCAATCACATCTTTCACGAGGAGGATGACCCGACGAACGACGGCTCGGTGGCATATCACTCAGTACGTGGAGATAAGAGACTCGGCATCATCATTGATCCAGGAGCTGCAAAAGGTCTTGGAGGCACCGAGACGTTGCGTGAAGTATGTCAGGCACTTCTGTGGCCACGAGGCCAGAAGTTGGAGGTGAAGTCTTCTTCGGCCAAGCTGTCAGGCATCGATGGAGTTCCGAATCCATCACTGGGTTTGGGCAAGTTACCGTTGAACCTGGACGCGCTGCCCAACTCGAGTTTCACGATGGATATGCTCGGTGGCAGCGGCAGTCGATGCCCTCTTCTGATGCCTTTGGAGACGATGATCAATAACACCATGGGCCTTCTCACCGGCATCCTACCGAATCGAGACGGAGTCCTCATCATCAACACATTGGACGGTCTCGGGAACAAGGTGAGACCGACCTGCTACATGAGGGCTCTCTACACGGACTCCGGCCACTACTTATTTCCGATCGACGACCCACAGGCTGGCACTGGCCGCGAGCGAGACCGACTCAAGCAGGCGGTGAAGGCTTACATGGCGAAGGTTTTAGATGAGGACACACCCAAGAGCACCACGACAGTTTTGGATACGGTATTGATGACAAACACAGACAGGGATGACAAGCAGATCGAGGCTCATCAGTCACTGGACACCGGCATCTATGTACCTGACTCGCATCGAGGCATGCACAGCGGGAAGGAGACGCTTGCCTTGTCCAATGCATTGGACGCCGGCAGCTATGTACCTGACTCGCAGCAAGGTGGCATGCCCAGCGGGAAGAAGGAGACGATTGCCTTGTCCAGGACTGAAGCAACGGAGTTGGATGCAACCAAGAACGAAGAAGCACAGACCTCAGAGAGTAGAATGAGAGTGAGATCGGAGGTCTACAATGCCATCAGCACCAGCACTGACACGATCTACTTGGACAGCAAGGACTACTACAGAAGGTGGCGAACTTTCAAAGCATCGAGATGGACTGGTGTCAACATGTGGCCCAAGAAGATGGACACCAACAAAGCCAAGCAGCTCGACATAGGCTATCGGGCCATGCCGGAGGAGTTCTACTTCGAGAGTCAATTACCTGTCGTGACACCCGAGAACCTGGAGAGCTGGATGGAGCACATGAGCATCTACCATGTGGACGTGCAGGAGCGCATGTCCGGCAGCAGCAGGTTCTCTCGGCGAGCATCACTGCAGGGTCTCATGGTTGGCTTTCCTGTGGACTATCGATACGGCTGGGACATGTCTGACAAGCACCACCAGAGGTTGCTGAGCACCTTTCGCGGCAAGTGCCACATCGGCACAACCTTGTGGGCACCTACCTGTCAGCCATGGTCTATCGCCAGCAGACACAAGGATCCGGCTGCCCTGGAAAGCGAGAGAAGATCACAGGCACCAGTTATCATCTTCATGCTGAATGACATCAAACAGACAGCGGACACCGAGCAGCAGCATATCGTTGAGAATCCACACAACAGCGATTTCTGGAGCAAGTCTGACTACACAGGCGTGGTCGACATGAACATCATGAGGAGCTACGCAGCAGACCAGTGCTCATTCGGCGCGACCAACGAGCTCGGTAAACCAATTCGGAAACGGACACGACTGGATTCTACATTCTCCTTGAGAGCGAGCACACGACATTGCAGATGCAAGATACCTCATGGACACTTGACTGGCGCAGTCGACGGCATCAAGCGCACAGCCAAGGCGGCAGTCTATCCAAAGAATTTCTGTGATGCTATTGTGAAGGACATCATCAGGATCGTGAGACACCAGATTCACTGGGGGTGCGAGAGGTGCCGGCTCGGCAACAAGACGGACGCAGATCACACTCGCAAGCCGGGCAACTGCAGGATGGCACCACGCAAGGCTGCTCCCCGGGCACCTAAGGCACCGCAGCACACAGATGATGAAGATCAAGAGGCACCAGCAGCACCAAAGGCAGAAGTTGATGAGGCTCCTGAGATCGCACCCGATGACGACGAAGTAAAGCAGGAGCCCAAAGAGCACGACGAAGTGAAATATGAGCCTCAAGAGCTGGACGAAGTGAAGCAGGAGCCCCAAGAGCACGACGAAGACGAGCCAGCTATTCATCCTCTTGACGAAGCACCACCAGGAGAAGAACCTCAACCTGTACCAGGAGCTCCGGGTGTTGAGGTACCTCCTCCTCCTCATCCTGATCCTTCTCAGGAAAGGCCGGCCAGGAGGCGGATCACGAGCAAGCAAAGGGTGGAGGAACCAGAGATTGCTATGAAGAAGTGGTACGACGTCAAGCCCAACTTCGATCTCAGCAAGATGGTCTCTCGCCTGAAGGAGGCTACCGACAAGAAGGAGATCTTACGGTTGCTGCTGGGTTTTCACATCAGGTTCTGGCACGCTCCCGTGCCGGACATGGTGATATTCCTCAAGAGTGCAGAATGCTGGAACAAGACGCTGGCCGCAGTTATCACAATGGTCTGTCTGGCCTGTTCTGTGTGCAGGGACTTGGCCAGACCTCTTACAAAACCACGAGCTGGAATCACAGTACCACTACGTTTCAACCACAGAGTTCAGCTAGACTTGTTTTTCATGTGGGACAAGGTGTGGCTTCTGGTCATAGACGAACTGTCCAGATACAAAGTGGCGGACATCGTCGCAGATCGCACGCCCAAGGAGCTACTGACTACTTTGATGAGGTCATGGATCAGATATTTCGGGCCCATGCAGATCATGGTTCTGGACCAGGAAGGCGGCCTCGTCTCAGAACTTTCTTCCAGGACGTGCGATAAGCTGAACATCAAGCGACGATATGCCGGCACCGACGACCACACGATGACCGGTCTGGTGGAACGTTGGATTCAGCTGGTTCGGCTCTGTGCCATGAAGCTCAAGCGTACCTGCACCACGCAGGGATTCGAGGTCTCGGACACGGACTTGGTTCAGGAGGCGGCCATGGTTTCCAACAGTATGGTCAGCTACGGAGGTCAGACGGCGACGCAAGTGGTCTTAGGCTTCACACCCAATGACTACTACGACCTTGAGGCCACCACGCTGGACTCCGTGCAGAGCGCCGACGTGAGCTGCCCCGATCCGTTCGAGGCAGCTGTCAGGCTTCGTCTTCTTGCGAAGGCAGAGATGGCACGAGCGATCGTTGAGGACAGAGTTGCACGAGCTAACAGGACACGCGTTCAACAACACGGACCCGAACAGGAGCTGAAGGTCGGAGAGTCCGTCGACATCTACAGAGTACCAGACCGCAAAGATCAGCCAGGCTGGCGCGGCCCGGCTGAGCTCGTCAAGATCTCGGAGGGCACGGCGATAGTTGTCTGGAACGGAGTACCCTACATTCTGCCGGTGCGGTACCTCAGGAGGCACCTGGTCGGCTTCCTAACGTATCAGGCAACCAACATCTCCGAGCTCAAGACAGGCGACCAGCAGATGCTCAACACCCTGGGCAGGCTGATGGACATCGTGGACGGCAGCATCTATGGACAGGTGACACGGCTCGGCAGGACAATCACTCAGGATGGTCAGGTCAAGTGCTCACCTGATGCCAAGACACTGGTAAATCTTCAGCCCTGGAAGTTGAGCATGATGACGTACAGAACGATATTTCACCTAAAAAGCTTGGACGGCATATTGTACGGCACGTCGCTGCGCAGGGTACCACCACTACATGCAGTTCGGTTCGGCTTACTTGTCTTGTGGGAACGAAAGTATCGCACCAACTACATGACCTACGAGATCGACCCGAGCATGGGCGTGACAGTTGGTAGTCTGGTAAGTTTCAAGTGGGAGAATGCCTCGTTCATGATGTACTATTCGATACCATCACAGTCGGACCCTTTCCTGGACGAGCACCACTTGCCAGACATGAATGACCTGTCTCGCATCGAGCCAGTACCCGAATCGGCGATCGACGTGAACCGTGACGTTCATGACATGATAAGCTTGCTTCCCGACTTGGACGACTGGATGGATCAGGACGCCATAGCCGACACACAGCCAGCGGAGAAGAGTCAACTGGATCAGGCCACAGTCGACAGTCCTGGAGCAACACAGCCGTTTGCACCACAACAAGAGGCACAACCTCATCAGAGTGAAGGTGTCATTGTTGCTTCACCTGTGGAACCAGTTGTGCAGCCCTGGCGACCTGGACGCTCTGGAAGCGCAATTGCAACACCGGCATCTACAGCATCACAGACGAGACCAATACAGACGGCCTCGGCACCATCAGTTGCTCATCCTTTTCCTCCAGTTGTCGGGAAGGAAGATATACATAGGACATCACCTCCTGTTGGAGATCTAGATGCGAGCATGGATTTATCACGGGACCTCAGCAGGATCATGGAGGAGACAGAACAGATGGACATATCTCGAGAACTGAGCAAAGTGATTGACCAGAACCCGATCAGGACTACAGCGACTCCGACACCAGGCACATCATCGACATCGGGCATCGGACCTCAAGTCCAAACAGAAGTTCACACCAATCCAGTTGGGCCACCGACAATCTTGAGGCCAGGGTCTACTGACACTGCGGCGGCACCTCCTCCAGCTTCCGCTGATGTGCAGATGGTTCCATATGTGCCTATTGCGACATCGACATCAGGTCAATCACCTGCATCAGACATACCACGACGAGTTCGACTGGACGATCGCGAGGAACGTGTGAGCCCCACCGGGTCGCCTACGACAGTGGCACCTGGTACATCGCCAACGACAGAGGAGACACCACCTACTGTGTTGGAACCTGGGCAGGCTCACGAGCACGATCTCGCGAAGGAATTGAGTGACCTCATTCAGGCAGACATCGACGATGAAAACAGCATGCTCGTACCGCGGATGGAGACCGCGACAGACGCGCAAGATTTAGAGAGGACGACCCACGACAAACGATATCATGACGACATGGAGCAAGCCAGTACTATGAGTTTGCAGCAGAGGCATCCTCGGCGGCGGACAGAAGATCATGATGAAAGCTCACCTGCACCAGGAGATAGACCTCATCTCAATCAAGCTGATCAACCAGTACAGGTGGAAGCTTCACAACCTCAGGAGCTGGACCTCACGGGAGAGATGGAGAACATCCTGGATCAGACAGCAGCAGATGGTCAGGACACTGGCGCTGTACCACTCATGGACGGAGAACGAGATCTCTTCGCTCGCCACAACACGATGAACAGCGTCATCAATTGGCAGTCTGGCGAAGCAGAGATGGTCAACCAGCTGAAAGAGTCCTACATTGACGACTCCCTCTCGCACATCCTCGAGAGTCACAGTGAGGCGCAGTCATACCTCTCCAGCATCCAGATGAGCGACTTGCCATGGAACTCCAAGGAGGCTTTGTGGACTATTCGAGGACCATGGCGCCAGGATACCTGTTTTCTGTTCTGCATGCGCACTGGTGAGGTGCAGTCCCATGTCGGCGTGAAAGAGTCTGACAACCTGAGTGAGGAGGATGTTCTGACCCACTGGCAGTTAGTAGAAGAGGCCGACTCGAAGGAGCTGCAGGCCTTTGTTGATCACAAGGTTTTCGCATGCAAGGCGCGGCGCACGATGGGCAGCAGCAACACCATCGACGCGACATGGGTCAGGAAGTGGAAGTATGATGCGAAACGCAAGGAGTGGATCATCAAGAGCCGGCTGTGCGGACGAGGTTTCCTCGACAAGCAGAAGCACGAGATCCAGCGCCACTCGAGCACCGCCAGCAGGTTGAGTCAGAAGCTGATCGTCTCGACCGCGCAGGTGCACGAGGGCTTCGAGCTCGAGAGCTGGGACATCAGCACGGCTTTCTTGCAAGGGCTGAGCTTCGACGAGATCAGACGTCGTTCGAAGGAGCTCAAGATCAACTGCGAGACGGTGCGCAAGGTGTTCCTGGCACCTCCGGCCAACGTTTGGCGACTGCTGGACAGGCTGCCGAACAGTGGCATCCACGTGAAGGAGTGGGACATCGACCTATTTGTTTTGGAGCTGCTGAAGCCGATGTACGGCCTGGTCGACGCACCACACTTGTGGCAAGTAGCGCTCACTCTTTTCTTGGTGGATGTGCTTCATGCGAGGGTAAGTCTTTGGGACGAGAACTTCGTCTACTGGACCTATCGAGATCTACCGGCTGAAGTTCGTGACAGAGCTCAAGAGGCACGCTCCATTGATGATATCGCAGCGGCACTGTCCATTCATGTTGACGATCTCTTGTCAGCTGGACGCTCTCAACACTTGGAGTATCTGAGGAAGTTGCTGGAAGGCAAGTTCGGAGCGGTGAAGAGACAGCAGCTGCCATTCACACACAATGGGGCACAATATATGAGACTGAAGGACGGCACGATATTGCTTCAACAAGTTGATCACCTGAGCAAGATACCTTTCTGCCAAGTACCTGATGGAGCTGATGACAAAATGGTGACAGGAGTGTTTGCTCATGGGTTCCGGAACATACTTACATCGATGCTGTTCCTATGCCAGTGCAACCTTCACATCATGACGGAGGTGACCCAGCTGCAAGGTTTCAGCAACGAGCCCAGGATCATGCACCTCAAGAGGGCCAATGCACTACTCAAGCGAGCTCAAGGAGATACGACATTGGTGGGCTTGCACTACCCCATGCTGAATCCTCCGTTTTGTCTTCGAGCTGTTGGCGATGCGAACCACACTACTAAGTCTTCAGTGTACCCTCAGGAGGGACAGCTCGTGTTGCTGATGGAGGACAAGGAATTGAAGGTTGACGAGGCTCACTTGCTGTTGGACGCATCGGCTCTGACTGGCAGGTGTCACGTACTCATGGCAATAAGTAGCAAGGCAAAAAAGGTTGCGCACTCGACTTCGATGGGCGAGACTAATTGTGGATTGGCAGTGGTATCAGGAGCTCAGATGGTTGCCATGCGACTCTCGGAGATGCACCTGGCTCTGAGCTGCACCACGAAGCAGATGATATCCGTTCTCATCGAGATGAATAACACAGGCCAGTACGTAGTTGCGATTGACCACTTGACGGACTGCAAAGACATGTTCGAGCTGGTGACGGGCTTGAAAGGAGTACCTCAGGACCGTCAGCAGAGGCTGGCCATCATGGCCTTGAGAGAAGAAAGAATGACAGGACGAGTGCGAAATACTTTGCACATTCCCACGGACGTGATGCTGAGTGACGCTTTGACGAAACCTGGAACATTTCCTCAGCTCATGTACCTACTCACAACCGGCATCGCCAAGTTTCATGGAAGCAAGAAGCCGATAACCTGCAAGCGTATGTTACATCGACCTGGAGTTTTCTCAGAGTCTGACTTGGAGAGTATCCAGAGGTTCGACTAGATTGGCTGCACGAACATCACAGAGGAGAGTATTTTCTGATGTATCACTTTCTATGATTTCTGGATTACTGTACTATTTTGTGAACTTCAGCACCGTGCTGGAGAACATTTCCGACATCAATGTAGCGTGTGGAAGGCGCCGCTCGGGCTGCCTCAATCTTTGCACAGTTTTCCTAGAGAGTAGAATGAGAGTGAGATTTCGTGTTCCCTCTTGGCTAAGATCAAGTGTAGTATCTGTTGTATGATTAGTAGCATGCAGGCAGGCTTAGTGTAAGAAGATATTCGACCGTGATCGCATGAATGCTCAAGGATGCGGGTTCGCTAGCTACAAACATTTCAGTCCCTCTTCCCCCCCCCCTCTTCCCCCTCCCCTCTTCCCCCTCCCCCCCCTCCTCGCCCCACCGCCTCGCGCGCGCTGCCCAGGCGAGCGCGGGCCTCGCGACCCCGGCCGGCGGCCCAGCTCGCGCGGCTACCGCGGCCGCGGTCGCGGCGGCCGCGGCCGCGGCGGCCGGCCTGTGAAGGCCCTGAGGTCGGCAGCGGTCAGCTGGTAGGCCCAGTGCTGGCACGTCTGTCGGACAGTACACGGACACTATATTCGAACCCTGTTAGGGCGACGAGATCTATGCATATCCACTGCTCCTGGCCAGGCCAATCCTGGGCCCAGGAGCGGTGTATACGCCCTCCTGGCCTGGCCAGGGAGGCATATATACAGCTCCTGGGCCCAGGATGGGCCTGGCCAGGAGCAGTGGATATGCATAGATCTCGTCGCCCTACCTGTGGCCCAAGATGCCCCCCAGACCCCCGAAATTGATATCGATGGCGTGGCGACGGGGGGGGCGTGAGTGGGCAGACATATTCGAATACCCAGAACACCGCCTTTGCTGGGATCAACATTGGCGTCGGGGGCGCGGGGGTGCTTTAGAATCTCCCTCAAATGTGTAAGGGTTCGAATGTCTTGTCCATGTACGGGATCACTGGGCTGACGCGCGCGTCGTCGTGCTTCGCACACGCCTCGGCGCACTTCCTCGCGAGCACCAGCCTCCAGCGGCCAGAGGGGCCCTGGCCCTTCAGCCACCTGCCGACCTGCCGGGCGTCGTCGGTGCTCCGGCGGCCCAAGTAGAAGCGGCAGTACCACTGGAACCAGCCGTAGGGGTCGAGCGCAGATATCCAGCCGCTCGTTTCCCACTGTCCTAAGCTGGCGCCGCACGCAGCCCCGTAGCGGTTCACTTCCTTGTCGTAGACCCGGCTCGTGACCTGCTTCTTTATATCCATGCCCTTGAACCAATCCGCTGGGAATTCGCGGATCACCTCAGAACCTTTGTATTTCGTGCCAGTAACCGCCGAAACGATGTCTCGAAAATACGTGCCGCCGAAAGATCCCAATGCGATTACCTCCTTCGGCGTCAGGTTTGGTCGGAAGGCTGGGAAGTCGGGGAAGGCCAGGCATCTGTCGGGGCCACGCTTCGGCAGCGGACCGCGCTTCTTGATCACCAACGCCGGCGGCGGCACGGACGGCGGGTCCTTGAGGCAAGCGTCCGGGCTGTTGCTTCCCGGCTTGCAGTCGTGGTACTTTCCCTGCCTCTGCAGCCGCGCGTGGTACTCACGCGGGTCCAGCGGCGTGGGCAGCTGCCCCGCGGCAGCCTTCGCCCTCTTTGCAGGAGGGTCCCCGGTGCCCCCGGGCGCCCCGCGCTTCGCGGGGGCCATCGCGTTGCCAGCGGAGTGCTATGGGGAGGCGAGCAGAAGGTGGAAGATGTGCGCCTTCGTGGCGAAGGCTCCACGGTTCAACCAGCAAGGCCCACGTGGGCCACCCTGAGCCTCAGAGCTTGAGCTGAGGCAGGACACGGCTATCCCCCCTGACGTCGGGCGGGTGCCAGTGGGGGTGACCCACACGGGGGGTGAAGAGGAAGAAGACCCTGCAGGAGCCCCTCCAGGGCGCACCGAAAAGTTTGGAGCAGCCAGATGTCTGGGTCCGTGCAGGACATGTATACATATACATATATAGGTGTATATGCATGTATATATAAAAACATGTAGATATGTATACGTGTATAGTGCAAGAAAAATTAAATACGTATATATATAGCCTAGTGTATATAGTGTAAGAAGAAGTGTGTATATATATGTGTTGCAAGAAAAAGTGTGCATATATAGTCATATATATATGACTATGTATACACACATATGTATATATGCGTACATATATATATATGTATATATAGGCACATATATATAACTTGGAGGAAGAGCGGCCCAGGCGGCCCGAGGTCCGCACGGGCTGCCTGGGCCAGCGCTGGGCCCCCCTCCCCCCACACCCCCCTGCCGCAGTGCCGGCGCGCGGAGCGCGCCGGGGGCGGCGCCCGTTGGGGCCCGGCGCCGGCCCGAGGAGCCCGCGCGGAGCTCTCAGAAATCATGCTCGTGCGACGTGTCCGTCCCGGCAGACGACTCAGGGAGGAGGAGCAGGAGGAGGAGGAGGAGGAGGAGGAGGAGGAGGAGGCTCCTCCTCCTGCTCCTCCTGCTCCTCCTCCTCCTGCTCCTCCTGCTCCTCCTCCGTCTCCTCCTCCTCCTCCTGCTCCTCAGACAGGAGGGAGCGCCGAAGAAGGAGCGGAGGGGGGACTCTTCGGGCCGCGGCGAGCGACGGCTCTGAATCGGTCCCCCGGCCCTGGGTCTAGAGGAGCGGCTCGCAGACGAGAGCCCCCTGAGGAGCCCGAGGTGGTCCTTCCTTCAGCGCCGTGGCAATTTGGCCGCCCCGATACGCAACACGACACGTAGCGCCTTGGCACGGAACTCAGCACGTGGACTGAAGACGTATAGGTCTGACGCGGTGCCCTTGGCCACAACGTGGGCCAGTACGTTGAGCCAGCGCGCAACGTATTGTCAAGGATGTCTTGAGCACGGTACGTGTTGCGTACAGTCGGACTTGATTGGACAGGACACGCGAGAGGACACAAGACCCTTCCGAGTGCCACACTGCCACAGGAATATAGGAGGCATGGGCCGCGAGACACAGGACACAAGGGTACCTTGATTTGGCAGGATCGACCGACGAATCTAGAGAGCAGAAAATCCACCCCCAGAACAAGCACCCCGACAAGCGAAGCCGTTTAGTCAACGCACCCGTGGACGGAACCGAACAGGGCACTGGCTGTTTCGCAAACGCCCAGGGGCTGTGTAGTAAACGCGCATTGTCGGGGTCGGGGTGGCCCTTCTCCACCCTTGCTACTTCGTGCCGACTGCACCCTCCCCTCCTCCTCCTCCTCCTCCTCCTCCTCCTCCTCCTCCTCCTCCTCCTCCTCCTCCTCCTCCCCCTCCTCCTCCTCCTCCTCCTCCTCCTCCTCCTCCTCCTCCTCCTCCTCCTCCTCCTCCTCCTCCCATTGATACTTCGTGCCGACTGCATCACAACGGGGCGCATCGAGGCAGCAGGGGGCAGCAGGAGGCGGTGGGCCTGCACCCGCGGCCACGGCTCCACCGCCACGCGCACGCTCGCGAGCGAGAGGAGGTCCTCGGGCGCGGGCTCGCGGGCAGCCTCTGCTCCTGCTGCTCCCCCTGCTCCTCCTCACCCGCCTCCGCGTCTGCTTTGAAAGCGCTCCTTTCCCTCCTCGTCGGTTTTCCTCCTCCTCCTCCTCCTCCTCCTCCTCCTCCTCCTCCTCCTCCTCCTCCTCCTCCTGGGGGAGAGCATCGAGCTGGGCCTGGGCTCGGCAGCAGGTCGCCGACAGGTCCGCGACAGGCCCCCGAGGGCGCATCCGCGCGCTCCCCGGCGGGAGCGAGCCTTCGGACCCCTGTCGGCGATGGATGGGCGATTGGGGGTCGAGGCATCCCCGCCCCGTTGAGGCCACCCTCCCTCGAAATTGCCACCTGTTGGGGCAGGACGCCGCGCGCGCAGGCGAGCAATCCAGCGGGCGGGAGAGGCCGGGCAGGCCCAGCTTCACTGGCGCAGGCGGCGGCGTCGTGGAGCTCACAGGCGCTCGCGACGGGATCGCCCTTTCCTGGAGTGGCGGCCACGTGTTCGACAGCACCAGGACCTATGTTACAGCGACCCAGGTGCCCGCACCGAGTCGTGCACAGGGTCGCCCCCTGTTCGGCGGGCCACGCAAGGCGCAAGAGGACGCGAAACTCTTACAGCATCGGTCCACACGGCCACGCATCTGCTGGCCATCGGCTAGCTCATCGCGACCACACGGTCGGGAACGCGGCGGCCCCGGCGAGACGCCATGCCTTGCGAGCGGATAGCGTGTCGCTCCGCTCGGCGGGGCAAGAGGCTGGGAAACGCTAGGGACGCTGACGCCTAGGGCTGGGACGTTTAGCATGTCGCGCCGATTCGTGTGGTGCCACAACCAGCGGCGCGACTAAGCAAAAGCGTCCGACCGAATGTTCGGCAGCATCAGGGCCCATTACACCGAGCCAGATGCCTGCCCCCATTCATGCACTCGATTGCCCCCTGTTCGGCAGGCCGCTCAAGGCGCAAGATGACCTGGAACTCCACCAAATTAGTTTACACACCTGTTGGCCACCGACTGACTGACCGCCAGGGGAAGCACTGCCACCTCTGGGGCACCAGTCGTTGACCTCCTCTCCTCCCAAATCCTGCTCACGAGCATGCTTTTCCTCCATGCAGCGACCAAATGGGGTCCGAGCAGATGGGGTCAGAGGATCGCGCCGCATCGCCAATGCATAGCCGATGCTTCGGCGACGTTGGCGATGCATCGGCGCCATCGGTGTGGATAACATCGAGCTCCACACGGAGCCATATGCATCGGCGATGCGGCGCGATCCTCCGACTCCATCTGCTCTGGCCCCATGTGGGGGGCGTGGACCTCTGGGGCCACAGTTATCTGGCCTCCTCTCCTCCCTCTTCCTGCCCGCCGCCCCCCCGCCTCCCCCTCCTCCCTTCCCCCCCCCCAGGCATCGGGCATCGGGCAGCCTGGGGTCTCTCTTCGCTGGGGAGCGTGGCCGCCGCAGCAAAAACTGCTTCCCCGCCCCACACCCTGTGGCTCTCGGGGTGACGACAGCCTGCGGCACGACGGCGCGCGGACTGCTGCACTGCCAGGTCCGACCGTCCGACCGACCGCCCGACCCCCCCCCCCCGGGCTTGGACGCCCGAAAGGGGTACGGAAAACATGGGAACAATGCCCAACAGCAAGTGTCGCCCCAAAGCAACCGCGGCCGCTGTGGGGCAGGCGGCCTTCGGTCTCAAGTGCATATATCAGGCCGCGGCGACACCGACAGCGAGTCCTGTTCGAAATGAACAGGAACTGCTGTTGGGCGTTGTACCCGCTCTTTCCGTACCCAGACATGCGACGTCCTGATTTTTTCAGGACGGCGTCCCCGGAAGTCCCGGCCCTTTCCCCGGGGCCGGTTTTTCCCATTTCGATCGTCCCGACCAGGGATGATGGCCGTCGGGCGCCCGTGGCCGGGGAAGACAGACAGCTGTCGACACCGCTGCTCCCCTGCCCTCTCCCGGGGCGCCAGCGGGATTCCCCGGACGTCGGGGCCAAGCCGGCCGCGGCGACCTCTCCCGGGGTGCGCCCTGCCCCGCATGTCGAGAGGCCAGCCGCAGGTCGGGCCCGTCCCCCTGCAGGGGGAGTTTGGGCAACATGCTCAAACAGGGTCCCAAAATCTTCAAACACAGTCCAGAAATTGTCCCCAGACAATTTTTGGACTCAGAAGTACTCAGAAAAGAGACCAAAAATGCTCCAAAACAGTCCCAAAATAGTCCCCAAACTACTGCTGGGGCTACTCTTGAGTCTATCCCTCCTGCACGGGGACAGGCCCATCCAGCCGTGGCCACGGGCGCCCTCCGGGAGGCACCGAGGAACGGGAAAAAGCGACGCCGGGGCAGCGGTGCAGCAGTCGCGCTGCCAGAAGGAGGAGAAGGAGGAATCGGAGGAGGAGGGGGGGGAGGAGGAGGAGGAGGAGGAGGAGGAGGAGGAGGAGGAGGAGGAGGAGGAGGGAGGAGGAGGAGGAGGAGGAGGAGGAAGGAGGAGGGCGGAGGGAGGAGGAGGAGGAGGAGGAGGAGGAAGGAGGAGGAGGAGGAGGAGGAGGAGGAGGAGTAGAGGAGGAGGATGGAGGAGCGGGAGGAGGAGGCGGAGGAGGAGGAGGAGGAGGAGAAGGAGGAGGAGGAGGAGGGAGGAGGAGGAGGAGGAGCAGGAGGAGGAGCAGGAGGAGGAGGAGGAGGGATCGCACGCCACTGAGGGGAGGAAAAGGGGAAGGAAGTCCAACAGTCCGCCACTGCCCCAGGGGGGCCCATCAGAGTGGACCGATCCCCATCCACACCAGCGTGGGCTGGGCCCCACAGGCCGATTTGCCACCCTGACGGGGATGTAGGCTGCTCTCTTCGGGTGTCGAGGGGCATATCCTCAACTGAGGTGGTGAGACGGTGGGGCTCGAGATGTGGATGGGGCTGGGGATAGGGATCGGCTAAACGACACTAGTTCTGGCCAAGGCGAGCCTCGGCCCCGCATAGGCCCCCCGACCCCAGATTTTGAAGGAACGGCCCGAAGGTACCGGACCTTTATTTTTCCTGAGCCAAGTGGGCCTCCGTGGCCTGGATAATATGCGTTGGTGGGTTGCTGGTTACTGCTGTTGAGTTCTCATCCCGTTTGAGAGCTCCTCGTGGTGCCCGAGCGGCGGGTTGGGGGGGGAATATACGGGCTCAATGTGTTTTTGCAGTGTTCCCCGACCCCCTCCCCGCCCCACTGGAAATGGAGGGCGACTTGGGGCCTTCGGGTTGGGTCAGGGTGGCTTGGTGGGTGGCGAGGAGGGAGGGCGGAGGCGGGTTAGAGTTAGGTCGGGCATGTCCCCCGACATGCGGATTCTGGACGAACAATATCAAATACCCCTAACATGTTCCCAAATAGTCAGCAATAGTGGAACAAATCGTTCCCTGACTATTTGGTTGGACCATGTTTGAACGGGTCTCCTGTAGAGGGGCGTGCCCGCCTTAACTGAAGGGGCCCCGGGACACACAAATAAATACACACAGATAAAACTGTTCCCCATCTGTTCTCATTTGTCTTTCATTCTTGTCTTCCCCCCCCACCTCCCATATTTTCCCATGAGTGGACGATTCATTGTGTCTGTGTGTTTTTCCCCCTCCTGATGAAGCTTCGAGGAGGGCGCTGGAGGACGGGACAAAGGCCGAGGCCGCAGGCGCGCGCCGGAGGGCGCCCGCCCCGCCCCCCTGCCGCCGCGGGGCGCTGCGCTCGCGAGCGCGGCGCCGCGCAGCGCCGCGCAGCGCCGGGAGGAGGGCGGCGCGGGGGCGCGGCCGTGGATCTCAGGGGGAAAACAAACCTACCTCGCTTTTGACCACCCTCGCTTCCAAGAGACACCAAACGATGCCAGCTTGCAGCCTGTGCTGGTCAGGCCGCTGGACGAGGCGGCTCGTGGTATGGCTGGGTTTTGCCTGGAAGCGAAAGCGGGGTAGGTAATTCACGCTCTGAGATCTGGCCATCGCTCGGGCGTCCACTCCCTGTGTGCTTTGTTCGGTTTCGCGCGCGGGTGTTGTCGCCGAGGGATCAAAGGAGGCTCTCCTCGAGGGTCCTCGCCGAAGGAAAAAAATGCGCACGTCCGAGCGGTGCCAGGAGATGGACGGCAAAGCGGAACCCTGGACTCTGCCCCCCTGCCCTCGCCCCACAGTCGGAGCTGCTCCCAGACGTTCCAGAGCGCAGGCTCGAAGGGGCAGAAAAGCGGACCCCCCTGGGCCTCCACCACGCCGGAGCCCAACTTTGAGTCGGGGGGAAGGCGGGGGACGAACGTGGTATCGACGACGAGGGGTTTCCACTTTTTTGTCCCCTTCCCGGAGGAGCCCTCCTCGGGCGGGTCCAGTCGGATGACCGCGGGGGTTGCTAAAGGGGGTAGGGAGGTCACTTTTGCTGTCGCAGCGGCGAGAGTGCTCACCGCTGTCGGGGGAGGCCGTGGGATGCCACGGGGCCGAATGGGGCACAGCAGGCGAAGGGGGCGAGGAAGCGCGCGGAAAGGGAGAGGAGCACGATAGGCAGGTTGCATGCGGATGCTAAGGTGGCTTACGCATGGTCCAGCACAGCTCATAAGTGGGTTAGATGTGCCCTCAGTGGCTTTAGCCCACTGGTGAGCCAGCGCACGCCAGAAGTCACCCGCCTCAGCATCCACTCGTGACCACTCTTATCATCTTAGCACTCCCCGTGGGCATCCCAGCACGAGGGAGGCGTCGAAGAGGAGGGCTGGCAACTCATCCCGAGGCATGTGGGCGGCCGAGGAGGGGGACCAGGGAGCGCAGGAGGCGGACGCACGACATTTGGCAGGTATCATGGCCCTGGCCATGATATCCAAGCACTGGGCATCAACCCTCGCTGGGACGCCCCCGACCTCAGATCCAGGCGACTCGCCCAACAACGCGGCGACGGGTGTGTCGTTGTTTTAGGCCCCTAGTGGCCGATTCCCAGCCCCAGGGCCGCCAAATAAGCAGCCCAAGATGAAAAATCGGCCCTGGGAAGCGGCACGAGGAGGAAGCCGCGATCGCTACGCAAGGGCTCAACGACTTCTGCTGCTGCCCTCGTCTCGCGCTGGGGCGTCCAGGCCTTGCTATCCAGATTCCCCTGGAGATCCCTGGGTTTACCTAGATCTTGATGGGCCTACCCACCAAACATTTGCATTTACCTCGAATTCCATGACTTGATCTCCGCAAGTCGATTGGAACAAAGGCCCGCTAAGCAATTTGGGGCACGAGGGAGAGGAGAGGGGACGAGCCCAAGCCAGTCCAAAGCCCCGCGCTACAGCCCGACGACCACGGCACAGGAAAGGGGCGGCCACTGCCGCGGAGGCTAAGTCCCCCTCAAAGCAGGACCCTCTGCCTGACAAGGAAGGCTTCTGCAGCTAGGGTTGCCACTCCTCCTCCTCCTCCTCCTCCTCCTCCTCCTCCTCCTCCTCCTCCTCCTCCTTCCGCTCCTTCTCCTCCTCCTCCTTCTCCTCCTCCTCCTCCTCCTCCTCCTCCTCCTCCTCATACTGCTCCGCTCCCTGGCCCTGTCCCTCGAGCGTGATCCCTCTCTCTGTCCCGCCCGCTCTCGGTCCTTCACGCACGTGCTACCTCAGCTTCCGCCCCCTGCCTGGTTTTCGACCATCGAGGGGGCGGGTGCGAGGGGGGAGTTCTTGCCACCTCTCCGGGAGACCTGGCTGCCCTCAGCCAGCATCGAGGAGTAGGGGGGGCCCGCTCTGGAGCTGCACACGCTGCCGCCCGCTGCCGCCCGCACGCCCGCGCAGCGCGCGAGGGGGTCCTCGGGCGCGTGCTCCCCCGCCGGATCGCCCGCGGAGCGGCTGCCTGCCCAGGGGGGGGGCTTCCTCCCTCCTGCTTCCTCTCCGCTCACCCATGCATGGAGGGTGGATGACGAGAACCCATCCTGCTCCTCCTCCTCCTCCTCCTCCTCCTCCTCCTCCTCCTCCTCCTCCTCCTCCTCCTCCTCCTCACAGCCACAGACTCCCGCAGTGCAAGAGACTCCTCTCCTCCTCCTCCTCTTCCTCCTCCTCCTCCTCCTCCTCCTCCTCCTCCTCCTCCTCCTCTCTCCTCCTCCTCCCTCCTCCTCCTCCTCCTCCTCCTCCTCCTCCTCCCTCCTCCTCCTCTCCCTCCTCCTCCTCCTCCTCCTCTCCTCCTGTCCTCCTCCTCCCACCGTCCTCCCTTTTTTTGTTTTTTTTTTGGGGGGGGGGGGGGGGGGGGGGGCAGCGCGCGCAAGGGGGTGAGGCGAGGGGGGGGGGGGAAATGATGGCGGCCTTTCAGAAAGCTGTGGCGCTTCTCAGAACAATCATTGTCTGCTATGACTTTGCATGTCTTGGCATTACTTTATACATTGATTTCTTTTGCACCGCATTGCTTGGCGTTGCTTGGCGAGCAAGGCCGAGGAGCCCTCAGCAACGCCATGGGCCGAGGAACCCAGAGGAACACCGAAGCGTCCTGGGCAACGCGCAGGGCCGCCTCTCACGAAAGGCCCCGCACCAACCAGCGTCTGTCGCAATCAAGCAAGACCCCCTTGGGCAGGTCGGAAGCTTCCAAAGGCGCTTTTCGGAGGGCGGGAACTACCGTCAAGATCTTAGGGGAAACCAAGAACTACCGATACCGTTACTCCCCAGACCTTTCCTTGGGGTGCGTTCTGACCAGAAATTCGAAGCGAATCCATGCGCTGGCGACGAGGGCATCCAAGGAGGCCCAACAAGGGGAAAAAGGGCGAAGGGTAGCGGTATGGGTGCCTTTTCCTCCTCTAACTCTTGCTGAACGTGTCGCGGCGGCGGCCCCGGCGACACGCGGTGCCCAGCAGGCAGTGGCTCAGGACGCTGCCGCTCGGGGGGGCGGGGAGCGCCGCAGCGTGGTGGCGGCATGCCAAGCAGATAAACCTACAGCAACAACCAGAGCAACGAACGTGTGCCCGTCGGCGGCGAGGCAGAAGCAACCCGCACCAGCGAGGGGCTAATCGGGGCAACCGAAAGGCAAATGGTCCGGCGTGCAAACGGAAGAGACGAAGACGAGGGCGGCCGCGCGAAAGGGGGGGGGAGGGGGAGGGCTCTCAGACGTGGAAGAGTTCCGCGGTAAGCGAGCCAGAGCGGCCAGCCGGGGCAGCGAAGGCAGAACCAACAAACATTTGTTGGTCGGCGGGGCGAGAGCGAACCTCTTCCGCTAAAAGCTGGGCGGGCCACGCACAGCTCTAAGTAGGGAACCAGGCAGGACCAACCAACATGAAAGTGACGAGCTCGCCAGGGGGGGGCATTCGGCCCCCGACCCCGTCTACACTGCACGCGGCTCGTGGCCACCTCCTCCTCCTCCTCCTCCTCCTCCTCCTCCTCCTCCGCCTCCTCCTCTTCCTCCTCCTCCTCCTCCTCCTCCTCCTCCTCCTCCGCCATCAGACCACTTCGTCTGTAGGATCCTGGCCTTCCGTGGGCTGCGGCTTCTCCGTGCCGCGCGCCCGCCCCGGGCCTGCGGAAGCCCCACCCCGCCCCGCCTCTTCGAGGGGCCGCCCCGCCCCGCCCGCCCCGCCCACCTGTGCGCGCCGCCTCAGCACCGAGAAGCGCCGAGGATCGAGATGGCGATCGAGGACCCAAAAGGTACGCCAAAGAGATGGCGATCGAGATGAAGATCGAGATGGCGATCGAGATGAAGATCGGGATGGCGATCGAGGGTGGGGACGCCAAAAGGTACCGAATACCCCTCCTCCCCGGACCTCTCACGGGGCGCGTCCTGACCAGAACTTCGAGGCGAATCCATCGGTGGCGACGAGGGCCTCCTGGGAGGCCCCCCCCCCAAAAGGAAAACAGGGGAAGATCAGAGGTATGGGCACCTTGTCCTTCCTGAGAGGCAAGAGAACCCAGAATCGAACCGACAAGTCGGAACGGCGATCGACATGAACCGGATCGGCGGAAGTCAGCAGCCAAATGTGGAAAAATCGGATCGGCTGAAACCGGCAGTTTAGTATAGGCCACCATGGAGAAATCGGAGGCCGCATCGGGATCCGGAGCCGAATCGAATCGGAGTCGCAAGCCGCCCCAATCGAATCGAATCGAATCGAATCGGAGGAATCGAAATGAGCCCGCGGCGCTCCGGCTGACACCCGTCGGCGTGGACCCCCGTCGCAAAGCTCCCGGCATCCGCCGCGGGAGGAGGCGGCCCGGCGTCGGCGCCCGGGCGGGAACGTCGCCCGCGGCCCAGCAGGCGGGGCGGAGCTAAGCACGCCGGCGCCGGGACGTGGGGGCGCGCGGTTGGCGCGCCGCGCCCGGGAGCGGCAGGCTTTGGGTCGGGCATGTCCTCCTACAGGCGGATTTCGAAGGAAAAGCGCAAG